TTCATTACAATATGAGTCATTTTGCTTAGTATATTCATTGTACTAATGTTTTTCTGCTTAATGCATACATTGTACTAATCATACACTCTTTGCTAAGTTGAGCTCCCCTTGCGACTCTTCCTCAAAAGAAATGAGGTCATTATTTTGCAGGGTTCTGCTTTGCTAACTTACTATAGCAAGAAATTCAATGATCTCAAGTGGTCCTGGCCTCCAACAGATTTAGGGGCACAGCAGACACAATCACTGGTGGACAGTTAGGGATTTCAGTTCTATTGACTCTTTACACTTCAGTGCAGTGACCTGTGCACAAGATGGGACTCAAGAGGCATCCCCCAGGAGAAGGGCCCTGTAACAAGAGTAAGGAATAAGATGGATAGCCTGGGTCCTGAGCTATTACCCAGAGAATGTCAAATATAGGGAGGAAAGCTTCCACGCCATTGTGGAGATCCCTTATGGAGAAGGTAAGGAAGAGTGTGGACAAGAATTACCCAGGAGGACAAGATGTGGATGGCTTGTGAGAGAAATAATTATTTCTCTCTTATATTAATAATTAATCATTGAATTAGGACCAGGATTTTTTCCCTTCCTACTTCCTCATTCAGAAACCAGAAACCTGTAGGTTGTTCAGTCTCTGAAAGACATTGTTGATGCATGAGATTGCCCAGATTCGGGGGTACATGCTTTTTGATCCTGGCTGGGAGATCCCACCCAACCAGAGAACCTTCCAAAGAATTTAATCTAAAGTGAGTTGTGGCCCATTGTGTTCTGCTGGGGGGGGGGGGGGGGGGGGCGTAAATCCTTTGTCTAGATTGGCTGGGGCGGGGATGAGGGTGGTCTGACTTGAGATAGTCTCTCTTTGTCCATGAGTGACGTCATCAAAGTCACATCCACCAGCCCCTCATTAGAATCGGTCCACCTGTCATTATAACATTCATTCTTCTTCTTAATGTTAACCAATCATAGATCATTGCCACCTGTCAGGAACACCCACTCTTCCACGGGCATATAAGTGTTAAGAAGCCACTATGATCTGCCTTTGGTTTAGGAGAGACAGTCAAATGACTCTTTCATTAATTATCAGCTAGCAATAATTAATAAAACGATTACCCAGAAATTGTGCCTCTCAAGCTTTTTATACACCATAGTTGTGATGCACACTGATGAAGGTGGTACCCATAATGAGATCATGGATCCATTTAAATATTACATAAAAATAGACAACCTGGTACAATGGAGAGAAGACTAGAGATTCAGAGGTGGAAGGGACCTTACAGGACATCTAATCCAACCTCTTCATTTTACAGATGAAGAAACTAAGGCACAGAGAGGGGATGTGACTTTCCCAGGAGCACATAGGTTATAAGTACCAATGCTGACATCTGAACACAGGTCTTTCCAACTACGAGCCTAGACACTCTGAATCCAAGTCTTCGGTCCTGGATTTAGATTCAGGAGACTTGGATTTGAGTCTCTCTGCTTTGCCACTGAAAGGTGTGTGACCTTGGGCAAAGTATTCACCCCATCCAAGCTTCAGTTTAGTCACCTGTGAAGTGGAGATAATAATGTTTGTACTCTCCACCTCACTGGACCATTGTGAGGGTCAAATGCTTTAAAGTACCACATAAACATCTGCCAGGATTCTTTCCTGTGACCATAGGCAAATCATTTCCCTTCTCTGAGCCATTTTATTCATCCATAAAATGGGGATAATAACTTCTTATTACTTCACAGGAAAGTGCTTTTCAAAGTGTATGGTACTTTATAAAGAGGCTACCATGATTATTATCTCACTTTTCTCATCTTTTTTTGATTGGTTTCAAGGGACAAGTAACTATGTTATTTTCCTTTTTATTGGATATTTTTTGTGGTCTATTGCATAGATGGATAAAACAGCTGCTTTTTTTGTAATTGAATAAAAGCATTAGGATGTCAGCTTGCCCCCTGTAGGCTCACTGAGAGAATCCTCTGAACAACTTTGGTAGCAGCCAGGACAACCAAGGTGATATGCCTCTCTCCTGTTGCCTCCCCCCCCAAGAGTTTGATTTGTCTTTGTGGGTCTCTATATTTTGGAGGCTTTTCTTTCCATGAAGACTGGAGATTATGAATGTTTAGTATGATGACATCTATTAAAATATCATTCTTATGTTTTTAGTAAGCAATGTTTTGTCCAGGTGATGGAGGGCAACAGTTGATTCTATGATAAAGGTCAAGGCTCCCGAACAGTTAATTGACTGAGTTCTTTAGGATCTCTTGAGGTTTGTACTTCTAGCATAACACCTTGTTGTCCTTTACACCATGACAGACAGTGACATTCTGGTGTAGAATTCTAGCCCCGAGGTCAATCTTGAAGAGTTTTTGTTGTTCAGTTGTCTGACTCTCCATGACCCCATCTGGGTTTTTCTTGGCAGAGATGCTGAAGTGGTTTGCCGTTTCCTTCTCCAGCTCATTTTCCAGATGAGGAAACTGAGGCAAAGTTAAATGACTTGCCTAGGGTCATACAGCTAGTAAGTATCTGAGACAAGATTTGAACTCAGGAAGACGAGCCTTTGTGACTCCAGAACCTGCACTCTGCCACCTAGCTGCCCCTATCAGGGTATTTGGTAGATGCTAAAGTTTTACAGCCTTTGGTGACCTATTGCATGGTTGCTAGCATCTTCTTACACAGTCTGCTTTAATGATGGCGATTATGCTGAATTGTTACTGTAAGGATGAAATTAAAGGACTTTGAGAAGAAGGAGTTCTGTTCCTTCCCTGGCAATGCCTGAGTGACTAAGAATGCTAGTTTTAGTGCGAGATGACCTGGGTCTAAAGCCTGGCTCCGACAGCTTCTCTATCTGTGGACCTCTCACTTCCCTTTGGGTTACAAAGAACAAGCATTTCTAAGTGCTTTACAAATATTATCCAATTTGATCCTTTGAACAACTCTGAGAGGTAGGTGCTGTTATTATCCTCATTTTACTGATAAAGAAACTGAAGCAGGCAGAGTATAAGACTAACTTGCCCACAATCATGCCACTAGGAAGTGTCTGCAGCTGGATTTGAACTCAGGCCTTCTTGACCCCAGGCGTAACATAGCAGCCTCATACCTGCTATGGTCCTTTTATTTTGTGGTGGTTGTTCTTTCTCTTGACATCATTGTAGTCATTGTAGATATTTTGTGTTTTCTTGGTTCTGCTATCTTCACTCTGCATCAGTTCATATAAGTCTTTCCAGGAACAAGCATTTCTTGGGTAGCTACTATGTGACACATGACATGCTTGTAGGTGACATCTAAGGACCCTTCCCTTCTAAATCTGTGAACTCAGAGAATGTGGGGGAAAAAAATCTGGGAAAGTAAGTGAAGCTGTTAAAGACCTGGGGAAAATGTTGACTACCCCTGGGGCTCAGAACTTACCAATCATCTCTGCCCTGTAAAAGCTGAGAGGGAGAGGTGTTCTTAGCCAGAAAACAGGAAGACCATGCTGGTGGCCAAAGGGAAGGCTACAAGGCAGGAAAGGGGAGGAATCTACAACCCTGGAGGCCATGAGCCACTAGAGAGACAAGACTGTCATGAAAGTTCAAAGAACAAGTGAAGAAACTGAATAAAACCAACGTTAGCACCCCAGAAGACAGCCTAGTTCACATATCAACTCTGCCACTAACCAACTGTGTGAGTATGGGCCAATCCCTCACCTTCTCTGGCCTCAGTTTCTTCATCTGGCAAATGACAGGAACTGGATTTAGTGTCTAAAGGCTCTTCCAACTCTTGGATTCTATGGATTGAAGAATTTCTTTCTCGGGGCTCCAGGCAACCATCCTGAACAAAAGAAAACGGACCAAAGTCAAGGCTATGTCTTTCTTAGAGACCTCCAAAAAGTCAAAGATAGGGATTGCCAACACATCCTGAAACCCGAGCTTGAATCATTGAGGCCAGAGAAGGAAGCACCTACCCTTTGAAGGAGGGCATTCTGGGAACAGGAACAGGAGGATGGGAGGGGACAGAGGGACTTGGGGGCTCACAGCAAGAAGCAGGTTCTGGGAGGGACAGAGGCCCAGCAGGCAGAATAGCAGTGACCACCTGAATCTCCTGGAGGCTCACCACCTCTCTGGATGTCTCCATTCAGCTATCCAGTTTTATGTTCAGGGTGTCAAGGTAGCTGAGTTGCTCTGTTGTGTTTACCTTAGGCCTCTAGCAAGCAATCCTCTCTAAACATTATAGCCCTGGGTATCATTTATGAAAAGGAAGAAGGTTTTCTCGCCCACTGGTCAGTATAGAGGAAAAAGGCGCTTGTACATGAACACGATGTGGACAACTGGCCCTCGCCTGGGACCTAATAAGAGCCACAGCAACCTACCTAGAGCTAGGAGATCCAGGAAGGGAAGTCAGGGCTCTCTGCAGCCATCACCCCTTCTGCCTGGATGTGCCCTGAGTGTTAAGAGTTGGAGTCAGGGTGAGGTAACCAAGGTTTTGGCCCAGGGTGCTGAGCTCCAAGGATTATGTTTCTTCTTCTTTTTTTTTTTTTTGACTAGGCAATGGGGTTAAGTGACTTGCCCAGGGTCACACAGCTAGTAAGTGTTATGTGTCTGAGGCTGGATTTGAACTCAGGTCCTCCTGAATCTAGGGCCGGTGCTCTATCCACTGCGCCACTTAGCTGCCCCGATTATGTTTCTTCTTGACAGTGGAACTCTTCCTGCTCCTCACCATGGTCCCCCCTCCCCCATAGCAGCAGGACCACCTCAACTTCCCCAGCAATGCACAAGTCCATCTTCTTCCACTTCTGTAGCCCTTCCCTAAACTCTCCCGGGAGACTGAGAGGTTAAGTGGCATCGACAACACAGTGCGGGAAGGAGCTTTTGGGGCAATCCCTCCTCCCCCGGTGTAACTGCACCAGGCTGGGTTACATCCAAAGGACACCGCCCTAATGCATTTGCCCCAAGCACTAGTAATGCTCCTTTCGGCTCTCCTGGAAGTTTCCCACAACATAAACACGGAGACCATAATAAATGTAGAAGCAGCGTTTATTAACGAAGCAGGTGAGTCAAGGATCCAATCTGAGGCCCCCGGGCCTGGCCCATTTCTCCTTCCCACTTTCCCTCGCCCCCCAATCCTGCCCTCTGCCGCCACAGTGATCCCTGATGGTGGTGGTGAGGAGATCTTGCCCTGGGGTGTGGGGAGGGGTTTCTGCCTGTAGCTGGCACTTTCCTGCACCCAGACCGGATGGCATCTTGAGCTGAGGGTCACTGGCGGGGACACGTGAGTCCGCCTCGCCATGACTCCTGAGGTGAACTGCATTCATGGGGCAGACCTGGGGGCCCAGAGAAGAACAGGAAGGGCAGAAGCAGCGCTGAAGGGGCGGGAACGCAGCCGCAGCATCTCGGCTAACAGCCCGCACAGGCGGCGTAGGCACAGATCTCACATGTGTGCGAGTTCTCAGCTATGGTTCCTAAACACGTAAAGCAGAAACCGGACTCTGGTGACCCCTCGCAGCATCTTTTCCCTCCTCCTCCCTCCCCCAGCCAAGGGCCCTGGCATTTAACTCTTGCTCGCCCTCATAACTACCCCAGCCCAGAGGTCTGGCACCCGTCCGCAGCCCAGCTCCAACCAGGTGCTGGCTTGGATGGATTAAATTTGGGGGAAGGGAGAAGGGAGACATCTGAGCTTCCACTTCAAACCCCTCCTTGCAAACCTAGCCTATCAGGACAGAGCCCCTGAAAACGTTATTAATCAGAACAGTCACTCCTAAAACCCGACAAAGAGAACGGAGCTACTCCCAAGGCCCACTAGTGAGAGGAGAAACATACAAGACAGACCTTTAACACCAGACCAATAAGAGCCGAACCCTAGTTCCAAGTCTCACCAATCATAGAAGTAACACCCCTAAAAGGCGGCCAATCAAAACTGAGCTAGCCCCAAATCAGCCTCCCCAGCCCACCAATCGTAGAAAAGGCAACTTGCAACTTACCCAGCCTCTGGAAAACCTGTGCAGCATCAGAACGGGTGCAGATAGATTGCAAGTCCTTGGGAAGATCTGGGTGGTCGCACAAGTAGACCCCATAGCCCTGGGCCTTCCGGTTCCTCATCCCGCTCTGCTGCAGGTCTTTGAGTTTCTTCACAGATTCCAGGGAGTAGAAGAACTCCCCATCCTGAAAGGAAGCGAGCAGAAGCATCCTCCAGCCATGTTCTCCGAGCTGATTCCCTACCTCACCCCTGTACTGCCCATTCCTATCTCTTCCCTGACTTGCTGCACCCTGTCCATGGCAAGCTCAGGGTCCCCAAGCAAGGTGCCTGGTGTCCGAAGGGAAGAAAGAAACTGTAGAACCTTAGCGTCTCCTCGCTGCCTGAAAGGGACCTCAGCTAGACCAAAGAATTTAGAATTGGTAGGGATCTTAGAGCTCATCAAGCCCGCTCGTTTCATTACAGATGAGAAAACTGAGCCCAGAGAAATTAAGTGACTTGAAGGTCCCTCAGCTAGAAAGTAGCTTCGCGGGGCAGCTAGGTGGCGCAGTGGATAGAGCACCGGCCCTGAAGTCAGGAGGACCCGAGTTCAAATGCGGCCTCAGACCAAACGCTTGACACTTACTAGCAGTGTGACCCGGAGCAAGTCACTTAACCCCAATTGCCTAAAAGCAAAAACAAAACAAAACAAAAAAGTAGCATCCCCAGCATTTGCACATAGGTCTTGGAATTCCAGATCCAGGGCTATTTTCACTACAATAGGCAACTTCCTGGTACAGTGGAAAGAACACTCACTGTATTCAGGCTTTAGGGATCAAGCTTAGACAACTGAGGCCATCTCCAGTTGTCCTGATCCATATCTGGCCACTGGACCCAGGTGGCTCCGGAGGAGAAAGTGAGGCTGGTGACTTTGCACAACCTGCCTCACTTAAATCCAGTTCACTTGTATGTCATGGCATCACTTCCCTGAAGTCATGGTTCTCTTCGAGAACAAAGGACAGACAGCAGCAACCAGGCTTAGAGGTTCCTGGTAATCTTAGGCAAGTCACTTCACTTATCTGGGCCTCATTTTCCCCATTTGTAAAACGAAAAGGTTGGACTAGATGACCTCCACAGTCCCTGTCATGTCTAAATTCCATGATCCTTTGATCCAGTCCAGAGCCCCATTCCATGTAACCTCCTTTGAAGCCGCTTTGGATACTTTCAGTGATAAGGTGCTCACTACCTCAGGAAGTGCCCATGAAACGAATTTAATCTCTTAGAATTATCTCAGAGAGAGTAAATAAGCAGATCAGCCTCTTACACCCAGGGGGAGGGGCCCACCTCCCACCCTAACAGAATCCAGCTCACAGCTGTGCTAACAGGTGCCCTGCCTGGCCCCAACTTCAGCCCAGGGTCCTGCTGTTGTTTGTGAAGTAATAAAAAAAAAAAAAAAACAAAAAACATAAAAACCCCCGCCAGGAAGCAGTTATAGTGGGACAAGACCACTGCCACTGTCCAGCTGCATCAGGCTGGTCCTGTTCCCCTTCCCCCTTTCGTTTTCGCCATCTGCCTCCCCACACCCACCTACAATGGCAAGGTTCTGCTCCTAAACTTTCCTCTCTTCCAACTCACCCAACCCAAGGACTTTCAAAGGCATAACTCAAAGGCATAACCAGCCCCCTCCCCCAAAAAGGAAGACTAAAAATATGATGATGACATGATAATTCAATTGTGTAAAATGTAAGACCTAATGCAATTTCTTCTATTGCCTGGCACATTAAGAGGTTGTAGTGTGGGCCAGGGGCTGGACCCTAACTGAACCTCGGCTCTCCCTCCCCTCTTTTCCCCCTTTCCCTCCTCCTTTCCTCCAGTCCTCCAGACTGCAAGGCCACATTGCCTCTCATAGTATATATTACATGTAATCCTATATATTTTACATAATTAAAAACGTATTTAAATAGCTATGCAATTATATATGTATTATTGGGATATCTGCTATACAGCTATATAAACATCAACTTTCATTATCTAGTACTATTATTATCATTCACATGTTTTTTGAAGCATCTTAAAGTTTAAGAGAAAGAGGTGTTGGGTCAGAGGAAGGGACCATGTAGACAGAACCAAAGAGCTACCATGGATGTGAAAAGGTCCCCATTCCTCCATCTTCACCACAGTGCAGCCCACCAGGTGATTGTCCTGATTTTTCCGATCTGCAGAGGATGGGGTTCCCCAGCCTGTCTGGGGGTACTGTGGGAAAGTTCTCCCTTGTATCTACCTCCTGTCTCTCCTGCTTCATGCTCACCTCCTGCACTGTGCCTGCTCCAGGACAGAGCAGCTACTCTTCAAGGCTCTTTTCTCTCCCCTTTCCTTGCTTTCCTTCCTTCCCCTTCCTTGATCAAAGCAGATTGTGAGCTCCAGGAGAGCAAAGCCTGTGCTCATTTCCATTTCTAGGGCTTACCTCCAGGGCTGAGTACAGGGCACCAAACTTGATTGAAAGGTAATTGACTGGGATTACTAGGAGGAAGAAATTGGATATCTGATGGGGCTAAAGGGGAAGTGGAGTGAGAAGAGAAACAGATTCAGGCCAGGACCCTGACTCTCCCTTTCAGATCAGGAAAGGTGTCTCTGGGAGAAAGAATGACCCCCTCTAACCTGAGGGCTTGCTTAGGGGGATGAGATGACAAAGGTTTGGAAGACCTGGGCTAGAGATGAGTAGTGAGCTCCCAACAGGATTCCTACCAGGACTGGCTAAGGATTGACTTAGAGAAGGTGAGACTTGGTCAAGCAGCAGCCCAGGGTGCCAAGAGCATTGGCCTCATGGTCACAAGACCTGAGTTAAATCCTCCACCTGTGTGATCTTAGGCCTGTATTTCCTCACCTGTATCATGAGGGTAGTGGGCCAGATGGCTTCTAAGGGCATTTCTAGCTTTGAATCGATGATTCCGTCATGACAGCTGTCTTTGATATCTGAAGGGCTGTCACATAGTAGAGGCTTATTGAATCACTGAATCTCAGAGCTGGCAGGGACCTCAGAGGTCATCTGGTTCTACCCATACAAAAAAGAAACCCTTCTACAGCATCCATGAGAAAAGAGAGAACCAAAATAGACAAGGGCGGGACAGGAATTATACTGAGACAGGTGTCGCCTCAACAGAACAAATGCCAGGAAGTGGTGAGTTCCCCATTCCTGGAGGCACGTGTGTGGTTTTCTTGTAGAGGAGTCAGCTTCAGATGTAAGTTGGGCTAGATGTCACCCCAACTACCCCTCACCAACTGCCCTTCCATTCTGAGATTTTAGGATTCTAGGACAGTGAAGAAAGTTGGGGCTGGGGGAGAGGGACTCACCTGAACTGTGACACTGCCAACCAGGGTGGCCAGCCCACAGAGGCACAGGGTGGACAGGAGGAGAATGTTCATGGTGGCTGAAGACTCTGGTGCTTCTGCTGTTGAAGAAGACCCCAGGTAGTACCTTTTAAAGGGTGTTGGGGTTACTGAGTAATCCTAGGTCTACGTCACTCACTTATCTATCACAGCTGGACCTTATCTTATAAGAGTTGACTGAGATAAAGTGAATGGCTGATAGGAGACAGGAAGACCTAAGCAGCCCCAGCATCAAACGCAAGGACCCTCTTTTTCCAGAAGCCTCCAGAATCTATTCCTAACAAGGCTGGGAAGTCATCTTCCCATACAGTGATGGTCTCCAAACTCTTTTGATTATACACCCCCTCAGCAAATAAATAAATGAGCATGGCCCTCCCACATGCGTATATTTGTTTATTTTAAGTATATGATGTGCTACTATACTAATAATTATGTACTTTATAAGACATATACATAGAAAACAGAAATTTAGAATGATGAAATGAAGATGAAATATTTGCTCCAGGAGGTGACAGGTTGCCACTGGAGTTTACTGAGGAAAAGAGCAACATTGTTAGACCTGTATTTCATTTTGATAGCTGTAGAGAGGAAGTCTTGGAGAGGGAGAGATTGGAGGCAAAGAAACCAATTAAGAGGCTATTACAATAGCCCAGGACAGAGATAATAAAGATTTGAGCTAATATTTGCCACCTCTCCCCTTTCAGACCACTCATTCCTCACATGGCTTTCCACTTCCATCTTTTTGCTCAAGGTATTCTTTGCCTCCCTCATTCTTTTCTGTTGAAACCTTGTCCACCCATCAGGTTAAATGCCACCTCTTCCATGAAGCCTTTCCTGATCTACCAGGCCAGAATTGATATCTCTTGCCTCTGAACTCCTATAGCATTTTATTCATTACTTGTCCTTGTGCACTCTGCCTTATGGCATAATGAACATGTGGCACTCCCTCTGAACTCCCCCAATCCACATACACTGGTTGGCTGAGTCCCCAAAGTGAAGCTGCTGTGTTAGGTTCTAAAGGTAACCTGAGAACACTATAGTTCAGAACCACTGCCCCCACTGGTGTGCTTCTCATTAAAAATCATGACAGTAGACACTGTAAAGGCATTCACTCAGGTGGCATAGTAGTTACAAAACATACCCCCATAAACTTGGGGCACACTCACCCACACAGAAGGTGTCACTGAGAAGAGTGGCCTCAAACGTAGAATGTGATGGGAGTGAGATATACTTGTGGGATATCCATGTGGCCAAGGCAAGTCACAAGCCTTGGTAGCCTGGGGTCTATAAGTCCTTTCTCTTTCTGCAGGGTCTTCCTGCAGCTGCCCTTTGGGAGAGGGTCTCTGCTGGGAAAGTTGCTCAGCTGGGCTCCTCAGTTCTGTTCCTCTCTGTAGTTCAGCTTTTGATTGCCAGGGTGAGCTTCTTCAAGCTTCTTCTTTTGGGTAAATGTCTGTATCTGTGTCTGAAATGTGTGTGTCTCTATTCCCCACTGGATTCAGTGGTTCCTGCTGACTCCCCTTTTAAAGCTATATGGCCTATGGGGGTTAGAAGGATAAAAGAGAAATTCTCTTTTTTACATATGCCCTTGAAGGCATGAGATCCTCTCCAGGCCTCTGTAGAACCACAAAGCAGAGCCGTCCCAGAGAGCAACAAGTGAGAAAGATGAGGTGGGGAGGGGAGAGGCAGGCTCAATCTCCCAGAAGTTGGGATGAATTGGCCTAGAGGTTGAGTAGGTAATATAGTGGTCAGGAAAGTGAGAAGTCCTACTGATAAAAGATCTTCAAAGCCACAGCCAAAGGGCATCTGGTTTCCTCCTCCCACCCTACCTCCTTCTACTAGCCAGGTCCTCAGTCTCCCTCTCCCCTCCATCCCTCTCACCCTCATCTCCAGATCACACCAGATTCATAGACCTTTCCTCCTTACCCTACCTCATTGCTATCCTGACCTCTCCAACCCTGGTGATAAGAAGACACAACTGTCACTGGAGACAGGGGAGAAAGCAGTCAGTACGTAGCAATCTGCTGGGGGAGACTGCTTCCCTAGTTTGGACTAGATGTCAGTATTTTCCATTTCTGTTAGAGTCAGTCAACAAAAATTTATTAAGAGTTTACTCTATGCCAGGCACTGTGCTAAGCACTGAGGATAAAAAAAAGCAAAAGAAGGAAGTGAATGTTGAAAACTAAAAATAAATAAATAAACAAATATATTTTAAAAAAAAAGGCAAAAGAAAGTCCCTGCCCTCAAGAAGCTCACATTCTAACGGGTGAGACAAGAAGTAAATAGGTTGTTGTTCAGCCACGTCTGACTCTTCCTGATGCCATTTGGAGTTTTCTTGCGGAGATACTGGAGTGGTTTGCCATTTCTTCTGCTGCTCATTTTACAGATGGAAACTGAGGCAAACAGGGTAAAGTTACTTGCCCAAGGTTATTTGCACTCAGATCTTCCTGACTCCAGGCCTGGTGTTCTAACCTAAGCATTACCTAGCTGCCCAAATGAACTAAGTAGTACACACAAGATATGTACAGAGAAGATGGAAAGAAATCTGAGAGGTGAAGGAGCTAGCAGCTGAGGGGACCAGAAATAGCATCCTACAGAAGGTGGGATTTGAGCTGTCTTAAAGGAAGTCAGGGAAACTCATAAAAATAACAATAGTAATAATAAAAGTTAATCCACACACACATAGTGCTTTATGTTTCAGAATGTTTATACACACCTCATTTGAACCTCATAATAACCCTATTATAATTGGGGAAAGTGAGGCTTAGAGAAGTTTCAGGTGACTTGCCCAGGGTCACCCAGATAGTATGTGAGGAGGCAGAGAATTCCAGCCATGGAAAGTACAGCAGATGCAAAGACACAGAGATATTGTGTCTGAGGAATAGCAAGAAGGCTGGGTCAGACTGGCTCACAGGGTGTGCAGAGGAAAGTAAAGTGTTAAAATACTGGAAATATCTACACCCAGAGAAAGAAATATGGAGTCTGAACGCAGATGGAAGCATACTGTTTGCTTTCCTTTTCCTTTGTTGTTTTGTTTTATTGCTTCATTCTCGTGGTTCCTCCCATCAATTCCAATTATTCTTTACGTCATGACTAATGCAAAAATATGCTTAACATAAATGTATATGTAGTCTATATCAGATGGTATGTGGGTGGGGAAGAAGTGGGAGGGGGAGAAAATTTAAAACTCAAAATCTTATGGAAGTGAATGTTGAAAACTAAAAATAAATAAATAAATTATCCCAAAACTATGGGAAAAATAAAAATAAAAAAATAAAATACTGGAAAGAGAGGAAGGGGTCAGGTCATGAAGAGCGTTAAATGCCAAAGAAGACTCTATCTTTGATCGTTGGAGTAATAGGATGGCATTGGAGTTTATTGAGCAAAGTGATGACATAATCAGACCTATCCTTTAGAAAAATCTCCTGGATGCCTGCTGAGCTGGATTTTTTTCTTCTGTAATTAAGTAGCAAAGATTCTCCCAACAAATATCCCAGCCTAGATCCCAGACTCCGTAGTGAAACTCAGAAGGCTAGATGAACTGGGAGAAAGAAAGGGGTCAAAAAGTGTGATGATGCCAGCCAGAGACAACAGACTCTGCTTTTTTGCTTTGGATAAGGATGAAACTTTCTACAGTGAACTCACTCATCAAGAGAGGTTTGGATCTGAGATAGGAAGGAGGCAAGAATTAACCAATCATGTTCCCCTCTTGAATGAACTTTAAAAGGCAAAGTTCAACCAACTAAAGATGCACACACACAAATTTTTGGATTTGCAACTAGCACATGAGATGATAATGCTTTTAAATGAATTTGTATTTATCCATCACAATAGCATCTAAATATACTTGTAAAGCAAGAGGATATAGAAGTGTTGGGTGGTATTTCATCATTCTATAGAAGGTATGCTTGCACTGAATTTCTTGCACTTATTTCCTGCACTGAGTGGTGATGCATATAGGCTGATGAATTTAATTTCCATTCCTGGCAACATTCTGGAGCACATTATTAAGGGGATGGTTTATAGACACTTAGAAATAAAAGTGGTGATAACTCAAACTCATCATGGATTTATCATAAACAAGCTATGCCAGGTTAACTTCATGTCCTTCATACTGTCGAGATTATTGATACATACTATTGATGTAGTATGCTTGGATTTCAGCAAGGCATTTGAGAAAATCTCTCATAATATTCTTGTGAAGTAGGTGGAGAGATATGGATTGAATGGTCTAGACAAATGTATTTGGAGCCGGTTGAATGATCAAACCCCAAGGGAGGTGATTGATGCTAACCTGCTAAGGCTGTTGATGACAGCTCTAGAGAACTGTCCTTGGTGCTGTTCTGTACATTTTTATTTCTACTTCGGTTCCCACCTGATATGCAACTCTATAAATTCAGATTCAAGTTGCAAAGGATTCTTAATGGTAATTTACCTATCTGGCTCACTTGCTCCCTCCCAGTTAGGAAATTGGGAATCTATAAAGTTAATTCATGTCCACACATTCAGTTGTTCGTTATGCTAACAGACCCAGGCACAGAACAACTTTGAAACAATAAAACATTTAATTGGACAGTTGAAATGTAAAGTAACAGAAAAGAATCTCAGTCACGTTTCCAAACAAGACTTCTTTTCCTTGCCCTCTCTCCAGTAGTTTAGGATGAGAACTCCTCCAAAAGACTCACAGCTTTCTCGTGTCTCTCTCTGCAAAGAAACAAGGCAGTTGAAGTACTCAGTGTGGATAGCCTTGGTGCTGCTGCCTCAAAACTTCTCCTGGCAGTATCTACAGAATACTCCTTGTTGCTTGCCTGGCTGTTCCTTGGGGCTTGTGAAGCCCTTGACTTGAATTGCTCCTAGCTGCAGTTTTCATTTGCTAGCTTTTCACAGCCAGGATCTTTGCTCTTGTCAAGGCCAAACTTACTGTGTTGAATCTCATAAGAAAAGAACTGCTGCTCCTCCTGCTACTTCTCATTCCTAGAAAACTCCTTTGTTCCACATAGGTAAGGACCTCTATTTTCTCTGTCTCATTCTTCAACTTT